AATATCAGCCAATGTAACTATCAGCCCAAGTAAGTTAAATTAAACCCAAGTTAGAAAAATAGCATTGGCCCAGTGAATAACCTAACTGTGATGCTATCTTTCATACATTATTTATTTTATTTTACTTTACTTATTTATTAAATTTATATGCCACCCATCTCATCCTGCCAAGCAATTCTGCATTATTGTTCTGTATGAAAAAGTCATGGACCAACAATTCTCATATTTTGTGGTTTTGTGGCCCAGTATTCATAAAACACAAATATGTTCCTGTACCCAATACAATTTCTAACTGATAATGCTTCATACATATGAGAAAACATGACCTAATCCTCGAAAGTTCTTGCCCAGTAAAGTTGCCACCCTATGCATACTTATTAGATAATAAGTCCTTCAAAAATCAGTAGATATATTCCAAAATAAACATGCATAAGATTATGCTGCTATTTTAAACCCACCCCTGCAGACATACAAGAAAAAAAAATCTTTTCTAATAATCCCATTCAGAAGTTCATGACATCTTTTAAGACAGAAATGCACCTGTGGTTTTAAAGAATAAAAAAAAGTTTCCTATGTACTATGTTACAGGAAATAAAAACCAGTTACTAACCGTTACAGTTTATGACTCAATGAAGGAACAAAATAGGGACATTTTATCATTACAAACTATGTCTATGTTACTTCATTACCAGCATAAAATGTAACAAATTATCTATTAAGAAAAATGTAGCACAAACACCACAATTCATAGAACATTACAAGTCTGTACACGCTAAGCTCTAGCAATACCTGTTGTGAAGTAGAAAGCCATGGAAATACACTTATCTTGCACTATCTTTCATATTTTCAGGGTATATGATTAAAGACTAATTAGGAGTGGATTTTTTTTTTTTTGCAAAAACTCAGAATTTAGAAGAACACCTACCATATTGAAACCAATATCTTCTAGGATTTGATTTTGAACTTGTTCCTTTATCAAAACAACCATTTTAAAGGGGAAAAAGGAAAAAGAATATAGCTTATTTGTGGCTTCCAGGAAACTGAGAATAAAATGGTGGCTCAGCAGACTGATAGCATTGTGATTAACACCAGCTGTCTGCAATTACTGTAAATTCAAATCTCACCAGGCTCAAGGTTGACTGAGCCTTCCATCCTTTCTAAGGTAGGTAAATTGAGGGCCCAGTTTGTGGGGGCAATAAGCTGACTTTGTATAAAAAATATACAAAAATATGAAGGCTATTGCTTAACGCACTGTAAGCCGCCCTGAGTCTCCGGAGAAGGGCGGCATATAAATCAAATTAAAAACAAAAAATAAAAAACTAGGAGGAAGATAAGTAACATTTTTTAAAAAGAGAATATATAGCTGGAAACCTAATACAGGCCTCCCAGAAATTGAGGGAGTGAAGAAAAGTAGATAGCATGTACGGTATATGCAGAACAGAGTGCAATTGTGCAAAACAAGAAACAAGTTGTGTCCAAGTTGCATATGAGAGCTACTAGGGATTTGAACATGGGTGTGGCACCATAATTTGAGCAAAGAGAAAATGAGATAGTCATACCAGCAGAATTCCTGGATTCACTTAAGAACTTAAAAAAAAAAAAAAAAAACAGAAGTTCTAGCTACTCCAATACAAAGTGTCCAAAATTTTCATTAATGGAAATGGAAAGCAAAATAATCAATCTGTATCAATAACAAAAACCAACAACCCTTCACGATTTACTAATTGAGTAAACATGCTCTGTGTGAAAAAGCAACACAAATTTAAAGGTCTTAATAATCATAGTCCTAGATGATCATTCATCTAAGACTATGATTATTAAGATCTTTAATTGCATGGACTCCTCACTTCATTTAGAATGATGCAATATGTGCAGCAACCAATGTAAGATCAGTGGTACTGAAACTTTACTTCAGGAAGCCTTTCCCCTACTTCCTGGGTACATTTTAGGTACAGTCTGTTAATGAAGAAAGAGGAAATGCTAAGAAGTAGAGGTTTCTGAAGAATGTCTTGCTTTCCAGGTAAATAATTATACTTCAAAGTGTATAGATTTGCCTCTTAAACAGAGTAAGCAACTTTTCTGAAAATTTTGAAATAGCCATCAGTTCTGTGAATGGTTCTGTGTATGTGCCCAATCACCTCAGCAAGATATATGCAGTAGAAGAGTTTTAAATTAGAAGTCTACCAAGCATCTTCCCACGTGGGTGTAAGACAAGAAAATACAAGTCTTTGAAAAACAAGCAAGCAGAGTAGCACTTTTGATGCATCAAAGTTTAAGAACTTCACTGACCTGAAATAAGGAACTTTTTCAATTACAAGTGGAGAAGAGGAAGAGGAAGAGGAGGAGGAGGAGAAAGAAGGAGAAGAAGAAGGAGGAGGAGGAGGAGAAGGAGAAGGAGAAGGAGAAGGAGGAGGAGGAGGAGAAGGAGAAGGAGAAGGAGAAGGAGAAGGAGAAGGAAGAAGAAGAAGAAGAAGAAGAAGAAGAAGAAGAAGAAGAAGAAGAATTCTTTATTGGCCAAGTTTGATTGGACACACAAGGAATTTGCTTTTGGTGTATATGCTCTCAGTGCACATAAAGAAAAATAAAATACATTCATCATAAGATGAATCATAAGATACAACACTTGGTGTTAGTCAAAGTTTACGAATAAGCAATCAAATCATCCTAGGAAACAAATAAAACAATATAAATTGTAAAGATACAAGCAATCCAAGTAATCCAGTTGTAGAATAATTTGAACAACAATATGGAAAGACAGATCTAATTCATTTTATAGACTGAAACAGAGCTTATACATCATGCTAGTTAGTTCAGTTCTCCCAGATCGTGACATATAGATTTCTTTGGTTTACATCATGGATGTCAAACTCATGGCGTCACGTTGCCGTCATATGATTTTTTCCCATTTGCGGAGCTGGGGTGGGCGTGGCCTGCACATGACGCATCCGGCCCGCCAGTTTGACATCCCAGCTTACATTATAGGTTTATCCAATGACTTTTGCACTAATTTCTCACAGTCTCAGTTCACTAAACTTAAAATAGGGTGTTAATGGCCATAATGACCTAAGCCAAATTGAAGACAATTCAGTGATTATAAAGCACTCTGCAAGGTTAATGATGATGCTACATGTAAAATGCAAAATGTGACATACAAATGCATTATAACAAAACAATTTGCCTTTTTCCTTATTACCTCCAGAAAACCCCTCCATCTTAGAGAAGAATGGAAAGAGGAAAATATGTAATATTCCAAACATGCAGCCTTGGCTGAAGTCAGTAACTGTACAGTAAGTTCAGATTGTACTCATTTGTCACAGTTCAAAAAGTTAAAAGCACAGGTGGAAGATTTGCACTGGAACTGCATTGCTTGTGTCTGTCTTTCTCAAACAAATGATCTCCTAGAAAGTATGGCATTTGGTGCACAATATTATTTTTCTATAAAATAAGCCATTCTTTTACAGGAGAAATGGAATTGTCTTTTCTTTGAAGCATGTAACATCTTAAAAACATCTTTAAACATTACAAGAATCGGATTGTAATCCAGAAAAACTTTATTTAAAAGGCTACTGCAGAACAGCTAACATTTCTATACTAAAGACTTAACATTTCTATGCAAAAGGCAAAAGGACTTGGCCTAAATTGTGACTCACTCAGTCATAACAAATATACTGCATTCTTTATTGTACTCTCTGGCCTCTGTGCAAGACAGAGCTTAACACAAGTGCCAGACAAACTTTCCTACTTAATGGAGCTTAACAGATAGATAAGAAGGGGCAGGAAAAACAAAGACCAAGAGAAGGACACATTCAGCACCCTTCTTTGTTTTTCAGATCCTTAGGAAGTTCAGCCAATCAGGTGCTTACAGCCTAAGCTCTCTTGAAGTGTTCAGTCTTTCTACCCACTCTAGATGTATCTCACTGAATCCAAAGGCAGAATTTTAAATAAATAAATAAATAAATTGATGGAACAAAAAGTTGCATAACCCATACCACATGGAAGATAATTTCCAATGAATTATTTTACAGCTCATCTTTGACCTTTTGAGAACCAGAGATGCACCAACAGGCTTAGGCTGCCCATACCCATTCAAATGAGAAATTTTAGCTGCCTGTTGACATAACCCTAAACTTTTTGGCCATAATCTTAAAAGTCACCAACAACTGCAAGAAAACTTAAAAGTACATTTTGATTACAAAATTGGCCTCCCTTACACATCAGTCTCATAAATACAATTTTTTTCACCTGTTCACATGTTCAATTTCAGAAATATTACTGTGCAACATTTGGGGGAGGGGGGGGAAGAAACTGCAAACAAAGCACCTGTTATTCAGATAAATGCTCTGACATGGCATTCAGTGTATTCTTAGCAAAGCATATTATAATCACTGCTAAAATATGACCAGCTTGGTTTTCCCACAATATCAGGGAAGGAGCCAAGTGAATCTGGACACTTCAGAAGCAACCTGCTTTTAAAATGTAATTTCAGAGACCAATATTTGCACAGCAAATCCATACTTTCTACTATAGCAGAGTTCAGCGACTCTGGATGTTATCCATGCCTTGTTAAGTTTGTGCAATTCAGTGCAGGAAGAAGCACATACCTAGCAGTAAAGCCATCGGAGTCCAAGAATGTTTTTACTGTGTTCAAAGAACTGGCTCCTGCCTCCCAGAGGGACCAAAAAAAAATAGCAAACGTGTCTCAATTCGGAGGACAATTTCCCTCTTTTTTCACATTGCAAGGTGTGTGTTTGTGTGTGAGAGAGATAGAGAGAGAGAGGGAGGGGGAGGGAGGGAGAGACAGAGAGAGAGAGAGAGAGAGAGAGAGAACAAGCAATGTGTTGCGGGCGCGAATTTTAATTACTGCAGGTGCCATTTGCTCAAGCGTAAAGTGTAACTGGCGCCCTGCAACAATTGCACATTTGAAAGGAGACAACCCATTTTGTTCCGAGTCGAAAGAGATGGCGGGAAAGAAGCTTTTTAAAAAACGCACACAAACTCACCCGCAGGATCTTATCTAGCCCTTCTTGGCTCAGGCAGGGAAATTCTTTCAGGAGCTCCGACTTTTTCTGCTTGTAACCCTCGGCCGCATTTTGCAAATGAGGATGCTCCAGCACTTCGAAGATAGCTGCTCCGATGGACAGGTAGAAAATAATCGCCGACGTCAACAAAGGACCCCTATCTACCATGGCGGTGCACAATGGGTAGCCTCGGCTCCAGAGGAAGGGAGAGGAAACGAGTCAAGGGGGGGGAGGGGGTTTGCCTTGGCAGGGGAGCAATAAAGCGAGGAGAAGAGCCCCGCTCCCTCGGTAGGGAATGCCAGGGATCCTCACCCGGCCTCGGCTTTCCCACCTTTTCCTCCTCTTTTTATTCTCCTCTCTTCTCCTCCCAACCGCCGCCTTTCTTTCTTCTCTCCCGCTTCTCTCCCGCTCGGTTTCGGGCTACTCCTCCGGGTTTCCTCGCTGCTGCCTCCGTCGTTTGAATTTGGAGCCCTTCTCTTCACCCACTCGCCTCCTCGAGCGGCGCATGCGGAGCGTCTCCCGGCCGGCCGCCACCAGCGGCGGTCCGAAAAGCGGCCAGCGAAAGAGTGAGGGTCCCCTCCGCTCGAGTCCCTGGGCGCAGCACGTGGCCGGGGGACACCCCCTCGAGGCGCCGCGTCCCGGCCGGCCGCTCTACACGCGAAGTTCGAGCGAAACCACCGCCGCGGCTTGACTGGAGGCAAACCCCGCGCTTCCGCTTTGACTACTTCGGCCCCGCACGCTCGGCGGCGCTCTCGCAACTGGAGCGTGGCCTTAGTCTGCGCGCCGTCTTTAGTACGGAACGCCCACCCCGCGGTGCCAGCTTGTGGGGCGGTCGGAGCTCTTTGCTACTGCCACCGCCTGGGTGGGGTGAGCTGCGAGCAGCGCAGATATAACTGAGATAGAGCCTAATTCTTACCTTGAAGTAGGTGGGGTCCTGCGTAATACGTCGTGGCGAGTGACACCCACGCCCGGGTTTACATTCTCCTGCCTTCTTTTTAAGGGCTGCGGGCACGGTAAACGCCGGTCAGTTGTTTCGAAACCAGCGAAAACCATCAGATTTGGTCCCCTCGGGTAGAATCGCTGCCTTGTGACTGCTGAGGCTAAGAGACTGTCGGGTGAAGGGAGCCGCTGACTGTGCCCTTATAAAATTGTTTATTAGTAGTATTATTATATTATCTGAGTATTTGAGGGGCTGTCACAAAGAGAATCCCTCATTGTGTCCTAATAAAGTTGTCATTAGTAGACTCCGTGTTTGAGGGGCTGAAGAAGAAGGTGGGGGTGGGGGTGGGGGTCAATTTATTTTCCAGAATAAAGAATAAAAATTAAAAATATATATATTTTTATATCTCTATTTCCAGAATAAAGAATAAAAATTTTCCAAAGCACCAGAAGGCAAGACAAGAAACAATGGATGGAAACTAATCAAGAAGAGAAGCAACCTGGAAGTAAGAAGAAACTTCCTAACAGTGAGGACAATTAACAGCTGCCTTCGGAAGTTGTGGGGGCTTCATCACTGGAGGCATTTAAGAAGATACTGGACAGCCACTTGTCTGAAATTGTATAGGGTCTCCTGCTTGAGCAGTAGGTTGGACTAGAAGATCTCAACGGTCCCTCCCAACTCTGTTCTGATTGATTGGTCTACTTTTAACAGCCCCAACTCTCTTTGTCCTTCTGGGTTTTGCAGGAGAGAAAATAGTGAGCCAAGGCCAGGGTCTATTGGATTGCATGGGGTCAAGGGCTCATGTTATGAGTGATACTGTAATAATTAAGGCTCTGATACTTTAATCAGCAGAGTGGATCACGTGTTTCCTCAGTGTTTTAAGAAAATGTTGTGATGATAAGCCTTTTGGAGTGCCATAAGACTTGGTTCTTGCTGTAATAGATAAATGTGGCTGGAACTAGGTAAAATTTTTGTTTTAGAGCTAAATCTCATCAATGTTATTTCCCCCAGAGCTATGTTGATAGGGAGAGTGGACGGTCCTTGTTCCACATTGTGGGTGGCGTTTGGCAATATGCTTTTATGGTGTCACTGTTTTCTTCTCTCAATGGGTTTAATCTTCCAGCCACATCACTGACAGGGTGGATACAGTAAGAGGATCATGTACTGTTTTTTGTTAGGCCAGGGATCTGCAACCTTAAACACTCAAAGAGTCATTTGGACCCATTTCCCACAGAAAAGAAAACACTAGGAGCCACAAAACCCTTCCCGTGCCTGACTATTTCTTGAGCGGCCACAAAACTAGCATATGTAGTTGAATTAAGCGTTCTGTTTTCTTCTGAAACTTTTCTTTTCTTGGATTTATCCATGGTTGGCCTATCGGAGATTGAAAAACTCAGTAAATCGCTGGTGGGTGTCCCACATTGATGGTTGTGACGCATATTTTGAGTGACAGGGAACTACAGCAGAGGGGTGAAAGAGCCACATGTGGCTCCAGAGCCGCAGGTTGCTGACTCCTATGTTAGGCAGTCTATGGGGACAATTTGGGCTGCTGACCTTGCCTGAAGAGCAGTATTGTGCCAGTCTGTTTCCTTGTCTGGACCACTCAGTCACCACTTGTGTCAGGAGGGTACTTCATTTGCTTTCCTCCTGGCTAATGCAATATCAACAAGGTCAGTTTTCCCTTCTCTCTCTCATGTCCTTAAATGCACTGTGGCTGAAAGTCCAAAATGACATGTAGGAGGAAGTAGTGGCTGCTGCTGCTGCTGCTGCTGCTGCTGCTGCTTCTTCTTCTTCTTCTTCTTCTTCTTCTTCTTCTTCTTCTTCTTCTTCTTCTTCTTCTTCTTCTTCTTCTTCTTCTTCTTCTTCTTTTTTTTGCTCACTTTTTCTACCCTTCATAGCTGAGAAAATTAGGTGAGCGATAGCCGCAGCTGCTTCTTCTGATTACTCTGCTGCAGTTTCATTTCTGTATTTAGCGGTGACTTTGAAATCCAGTAGCTTTTTTATATGTTAATAGAATAATTAATTAATTAATTATGGAAAGATATATAAAACTACTGATGAACCAATGGTTCATCGAACAAATCAATCCAAAATTTTCACTCAAGGCGCAAGTGGTCTGCTCAAATTATCATAGTTCAGATTTTTTATGTGAGAACCTAACTCCCTGGAATAGGCTCTAATGCTGGGAAAGGTGGAAGGAAAAAGAAGATGACCAATGCAAGGTCGATATACTGTACTCAATCAAAGTGGCAATGAGCGTCCTGTTGAGAGACCTGAAAGAAGAGGTTTGGGAATAGAACATCAAGGAGAAAAATGTATTTACGTGGTCACTAGGTCTCAAAAATGACTCGATGGTACATAATCAGCCAACCAAGTAATGCAAAAATAATTTCTGGTCTTGGCATCCATGTAGAGCTCACCTTTTTCATAGTAGTTTCCAATTTTTACTATTACAAAATGAATCTTTAATCAAGGTAATAGGATAATGGCATTGTGGATGCAAAGCTTGAACTACAGCACTTTGACACAGAACGTCAGGCTAAGGTCAGGAAAAATGCAAGTCAGAAACTATACTTGTACAGCAAGTGCATACTGAGAAAAAACATTGCCGGTCATTTAAGGGACACCAGGAAAATGAAGTGCAGTTTCTAAAAAAATTTCACCCAACTATCATTGCAACATTGTTGAAAGAAGCCTAACTCCCTGAGATAAAACAAATCAATGCTTAGTAACAGACGCTTCTTTCTATCATTTTCTGTTGCTTTTTCTCATGTACAATTCTATGCTGCAGAAAGAAAAGAAGCATATGGAACCTTTGGAAAAATTATTCTGTGGATAAACGATTATGTGATTTGTAGAATATTTTCAGTTAGTTTAAAAATTATAAAACTTTAAATATGTTATCCTGACAAGCCCCATACAGATAATATAATATATAATTTAAATAACTCAGTCTATATAGTCCTACAATCATCAATATCTGCACAGATGGGGCAAACAATGAAATGTGCATTATGACATATACTTTGGGACTGACATATTTGTATCCGACAGCAAGCACAAAAGGCTGAGATTTATTGTGACAGAACAGTTGTTACATAATTTTTGCATCATAGTTTGTACTAGATGCCTGTATTCTCCTCATTGTTTCTTGCTGTGTAAAATCGTACAGGTGATTCAGTTCTCATATATAATCTGAATTTCTCTGGAGTAATCAAAGCACAATACCAGTAATTAGAATTGAATTTTGATTTGTATCCTATATTCGCAGGCTCAGGCAGTCAGTGACTTGTCCTTATCCTCCATCTACTATACAAATATTTTATTAGGCAAATTATATATGTGTGAATAATCCTCATAACTAGTATGTATCATCGTACATGTACATTTATTATAGGAAGGTTATCGGAAAGTCAGGTAATTTTAATGCTTATTCTTGACCAGTTTCTCCATAAGCAAAACTTGACAATTTTTTCTTCTATCAGCAGGGTATGCTTTTCTATTTAACTGTGGAATTCATACATTAGTAGGCAATCCAGTGCTGTTAATATATTCTTTATTGTTTTTTTTCTTCTGAAAATTTAGTTACCTTCATTACTTTCAGATAGAATTTTTAGATAGACTGAGAATGCCTCTTCTTTAGAAATGGAGAGTTTGCTCTAAGTACCATGAATATCAGTTTACCTATATTATACATATATCTGTATGATACATAACTGGTATCAGGTGGATAGATTACCTGCATTATTCTTATGACTTAACTTATTCTCATATGTGTGCATGGGAATGCAGCCTTGATTATAAAGTAATCCATCTGGATTGAGGCAGCGGATAAATTCCATAAATAAATCCTTTGTTCTATTTAATCTCTTCCTTCATATGTTTCTATTTAAATATTGGTGTTGCAGTTAAAATATTTTCCACAGCTTTCTGTGATCATTTAAAGACTAATTCTTATTTCCAGTTCGTATAAGAATTAATGCTAAGGTACAAAAGGATTTCAAACTCAAATTGCCCCAAGTGTCACATAAGAAACAGTCTAAGAGCTATAATACCAATACACGAATAGAAAAGTCTCCAGTAAGTAAAAAAAAATGAATAAAATGAACCAAACTGCGATACACAACTCCCCCAGGCCTTTCATAGAGCTACCAACTCCTACCAGCACAAGGGAATACTTGCAATGCCCACCTGAATTTGGCAAGCCGCTCTCACTAGCTCTCACTAGCTCTGTTGCCAAACTACAAGCTGAGAGTTTGAATTTCCTGACTTAAGTCTCTAATTTATCTGTGCTGGAAAAAAAAATCATTAAATGCCAGCAAAGAGGACCCAGTTTGTGGGGGCAATAAGCTGACTTTGTATAAATATACAAAAGGATGAAGGCTATTGCTGAGCACATTGTAAGCCGCCCTGAGTCTTTGGAGAAGGGCGGCATATAAATCAAATTAAAAAAAAAAGAGAGAGATATTAGAAGGAAAAAAGATCCCTTTGCTGCCATTTCAGTGATTATCCATATATTAGCAATCCATCTATGATAAGCCTAAAGATCATATAGAATGATAAGACTACAATGTAAATTATCTTTAGTATATAGTTTGTAAATTGGCTAATGAATTCAATGTGTCAACTCGCAAAGCATCCCTGGCATGCTCTCGAGTTGCCATAGGCCAGGGGGGATGGGAAACCGGCGAAATGGCACAGCAGCCAAAGACAGAGCCTGGGACCCAGGAATCGCGGTAATCTTAGTTTTGAGAGAGCTGGCTTGGTGTCAGGGTTCTGATGGATGCCCTAATTAAATCATGAGTCTCGAGCCAAGCTTTAAAAGAAATCCTGTTATTTATTAGGAGCTTCATGTCGGTAAGTTGAGTGACGCCAGCTCTGATCCTACATAATTTACGCTCCAATTATGACCCTGTTTCCCCCCTCCCCCCAGGGTATGCCATCAATCACATTCTCCAACGGAACAATTATGCGGGTTGTAGAGGTCACTCCTCTCTGCTGCTGTAAGTAACCCTGGGATATAGCCTTGAGAGAGAGAAGCATGGAATGTGCATTTTTCTTTGGCTGCTGTGCCATTTCGCCGGTTTCCCATCCCGCCTGCCCTATGGCAACTAGAGAGCAGGCCAGGGATGCTTTGCGAGTTGACATTCAATGTTTGTAATTGTTAAGTAATACAGCAGTAATAAAAGAATTCCATCTTAATATGTTTACAGCAATTTAAGAATTCAGAAACCAAATTCAAGTTAGATGTTGACCCAGATAGTCATGGAATAGGCCATAGGGAAAATAATATTAAGGAGCATAGAAAATCCATAGAAATTCCATGTAGCTATTAGAAAACATTTCATGATTCTGGGCTTTTTTCTTTCTGGCAGCCAGCAAGTTCTTGCTGCCAGGTGAGAGACTTGGTTACGTAGGAAAAACCTGGCTAGAGGAAAAACACACATAAATCCTACGAAGAAGTAAGAATGTGTGTGTGTGTGTGTGTGTGTGTGTGTGTGTGTGTGTTTTGTTCTTTTTTCGTAGGTCTATATGTGCATTACTGTTCTAGCCAGGGTTTTTCCTGCGTAAATCAAGATGTTTGTATTGCCATAGTTAAGTGACATCCCAAATCAGCCATAGTTAAGTGACATCCCAAATCACTATTTTATAGGCTTTATCAGACATTTAAGCAGCACTATGCTGTCTGCTGTAAGACTTAAGGAGACTAAGATAGATCTATTTCGGCCTTATAAGGCCTCATCAGTCAGCCACACCCTCATTTTTTGACTCCTCCCTGTAACGGTCAAATATTTATTTTGTTCTTTTTTCGTAGGTCTATATGTGCATTACTGTTCTAGCCAGGGTTTTTCCTACGTAAATCAAGATAATTGTATTGCCATAGTTAAGTGACATCCCAAATCACTATTTTCTAGGCTTTATCAGACATTTAAGCAGCACTATGCTGTCTGCTATAAGACTTAAGGGAGACTAAAATCGATCTATTTCAGCCTTATAAGGCCTCATCAGTGGGTGTCAGTCAGCTTCATGTATGGATTGGAGAGGTTTAAAGTGGCTAATGATGCAGCTGTGGTCTGGCTTCTGGTCCATGGTCGTGCCTCATCATCGGTGTGGGTTTGAGTCTGCTTTCCGCGTGGATGTGTGGTGGTGACATCCTGTGTGGCCCTCGTGAGTGTGGGTCTGGTGTCATTCCTCATGTTAGGGACTCGTTTGTCAATAAGGGCAGGTTTCCAAATGGCTGGTAGGCAGGAGGTTCATCA